ACACCGGACCACAGGCAGTAGAAGAAGGAGAAGAAATCAGTTCGGGAGCAGAAAGCACGGGAGCAGGAGAAGGAACTTCGGGAGGATGGGCGCATGCGATCTGGCCTAGAGTTCAACAACCGACCGGCTAGAACCCGACCGAAGGTTGGGACGCCGTGGACGTCGGGTGGATCATGCGTAATACCGAAATGGGAGAAGCCATTGAAGCTGAGGCAGGATGGGGCAACATCGCCGAAGAAGAAGAAGGAGAAGAAGAAGAAGAAGAAGAAGAAGAAGAAGAAGAAGAAGAAGAAGAAGAAGAAGAAGAAGAAGAAGAAGAAGAAGAAGAAGAAGAAGAAGAAGAAGAAGAAGAAGAAGAAGAAGAAGAAGAAGAAGAAGAAGAAGAAGCGCTGGCTCAATACGGACCTCACCTGATCCCAGTCACCACCGACAGAAGAAGTTACCTCCGGCTCGAGACAAGGGGAGCAGCAATTGGCGACACCGGCTTCGAAGAAGGAGAAGTTACTCAACCAGAAGATCGTCGCCCAAGAATCACGCCGACTCCTCCAGAAGGACCGTTGGAGCTTCCCGTGAAAATCGACACCACCGTCATCGGCGACTCCAGCGGAACATACCACGGAGCGAGATTCGAGACGCTCCGCGCGGCAGCTGTCCAAGTCCTCGTACCAGAAGAACCTGCGGAAGAAGTGGGAAAGGAAACCGCAGAGAAAATTTTGGCACGAGAGAAGGAGCTATACACTCGCACACGGGGATACCGCGATGATCCCAACATCTGGCACAACCGCCTCGAGCACCCGTCAATTGAAGTGCTCAACAACTGCATCAACGCAAAAGTATTTGCAGAAGACTCACTGTTGCGGCCAGATGGAAAGCTACTCAAACCAAGAGAAGACTTACGCAATTGCACCGTCTGCCCGGAAGCCGCGCTACGTCACACCCCTTTCGCCGAAAAGATACCTGGAGCCGAGCGATACGACCCACTCGACAAAGTTTACATCAATTTCTTTGTACTCATGGCAAAGGGGCTAGGAGGGGACCAGTACACTCTTACCTTCATCGACGTCGGCACGCGCTTTGTCTGGGCTGTGAACGTCTGCAATCGCTATCTCGCCTACCAGTGCTTCTATCTATGGCTCAAGATGACGCAGACTCAGAGTGAAGGCAAGAAGTTGAAGGCCTTCCAGACCGACAGGGCACTGGAGTACCAGATAGAGGAATTCAAAACCCTCTGTGTGGAGGAGGGAATCCAGAGGATGAACTCCCTCCCCTACGCTCACGAGTAACAGGGACTTGCGGAGAGAACCAACAGGAGCCTCGCGACAAATATGCGAGCCCTCATGAAGCATTCAGCTGTGCCAACCAAATATTGGCCCTTCTCGATGGCGCATGCTGTCCGCCTGCACAACATGCTTTCTTCAAAAGCCCTGCCCAACAACAACTCACCATTCAAGGAGTGGACCGGCAAAAACCCTGACACGCGCATGCTTCGGGTTTTCGGGTGTATGGTACAGTACCGTCCCCACACTGCCCGGACCGGAAAATTTGACGACCGCGCACATTGGGGCATCCACCTCGGCATCGAATCGGAGTACCACGCTTGGACCATTCTCGACTTCGCCACCCACCAAGTCTCGCGTTCACGTGACTGCATCTTCTACAAAAGGCTGACCCTGCCACTGTACCGACAGCACCGCAATGCACAAGACGCACTGGACAACATTTTCCAAGGACAGCACACCTACGCAAGCGATCAGGACGAAGTTGACGTGGCAGGAGAATAGTCAGAGGAGCCAACTAAAGGAGAGGCACCCTTCGTACCCGTTACAGAGGAGTTCGGCACAGCAACATTCTTCCCAACTGACCCCGATCAACGCGAAGCAGTACAAGCACAACACGATAATGCAAGTGCACAAATGCACTCACTCATGGACGAAGATCCCAACCGCAACTCCTCTCGCGACACCGTTCGCGACATCCCTGGCGACGATGACGACGTGGTCAAAGTAACCAACGCAGCCGAGTCCAACCTCACCGGACTTCGCATCCTCGGTCTTGCTGTCGCCATCCGTGGTAACGAGCAGCTGGTCGAGCCTACCACCATTCGCCAGGCTCTGAACGAACCCGATGCCGAGAAATGGAGAGCAGCCATGGCCGTAGAAGTCGCTGCACTCCAGAGGCGGGGAACCTGGAAGCTGGTACCAAGATGACACGCAAAGGGGAGGAAAATTCTCACGGGAAAATGGGTGTTCCGCATCAAGACTCTCGGGGACGGCGCCATCGACAAATACAAAGCACGCTGGGTAGTTTGCGGTTTTGAACAAACCCAATTCGTCGACTATGACAAGATATTCGCACCTGCCGGATGCCACACCTCCCTGCGAATCCTCATCTTGTGAAGCAGCGCCCCCTCCGCCAGATCGACGTGTCCAACGCGTTTCTCTACGCGATCGTCGACGCGATCATCTACGTCGAGCAACCACACACCTTTGAAGAGGACGATGATGCCATCTGGATTCTCTAGAAATCCCTCTACGGGATCAAGCAGGTATCGCGCCTGTGGCAGCAGTACCTCCACACCGTGCTCATCGAGCCCGGATTCCAGCAGCTTCCCCACGATCAGGGGATGTACCGCCTCGAGTCCCGCGGCAGCTTCATCCTGCTTGTCGCCTACGTGGACGATCTACTCTACACCGGGGATAACGTGGAGCTGCTCGATCGCTTCGAGAACAACATCAAGCAGAAGCTTGAAGTGACGGTGAATCACAATGTCACCCATTTTCTGGGCCTCAACGTGACACAATCGGCCGACACGATTCAACTGTCCGCCGCGAAGTACGCCGAGACACTCGCTAAGAAGTTCAGCATCGCTCCCATCGGCATCACAACTCCGTTCCACATCCCTCCTCCTAACCACGAACCCGACACCACTCCACTGTCCGCTGCTGACCATCGCCTCTACCAGCAGCAACTCGGGTGTCTGCTCTTCGCCGCCGTCACATGCCGCCCGGACTTATCGTACGCCGCTAGCCAGCTCGCCCAATACCTGCGCCGACCTGAAGGGGAGAACATGGCGGACCTACGACGCACCCTACAATATTTCATATCTACGCCTGACGTCGGCCTCACCTACAAGGCGAACCTAACGGCTACGCTGCAGCTAACCAGCTACGTGGACGCTGACGACGCAAAAGACGCAGACAACAGAAGGTCCCGCACGGGATTTATTTTCAAACTTGAGCCCGCGGGAACCATCTCCTGGAACTCACAGAAGCAGGAACGCATCGCCCTTTCGTCAGCAGAAGCCGAGTTCATCGCAGCAAGTGCAGCAATTCGCGAAGGACTCTCCCTCACGGAACTCCTTCAGGAAACGAAGATGGCGATGAACGGGTCATTCAAGTTACTGTGCGACAACCACAGCGCGATCAAGATCACGAACAAGCCCGGCTTCGTCAACCGCACGAAACACATCGCTCTGCGTTACTTCTTCGTCAAAGACGAAATCGACAAAGGGAAGGTCCAACTCACCTACTGCCCAACTGGCGAGATGCAGCTGACTTCCTGACGAAGAAATTGCCACGTCATAAGTTGCAGTACTGCGCGGACCTGTGCCGAGTCGTCAAGAAGAGCCACGTGGCGCACCTCCAGGAATGAAGGGGAGTGTTGGAGTAAGCGGGAATAAACCTTAGTATTCCCGAAGGTGCAGTTGTATCGCACCCGCTACTACCAAAGCAACAACAGCATCAGTATCGGATCAGCCCATACAGGGCAGGAAGGTCAACAGTCGCAAGTCAACTGTTGCGACTGTTGACCATCAGGACCGAACGGTTACCTGCGAAGAATGGCAACAGGCGTAACTGTCTACACAGTTACACGGAGCGACCCGATAACAGGAGAAGTGCAAGCGTCAAGGTTACTATAGAGATGCCTGTATTACAGTTATAATAAGGGAATGTACCCCTTAGAGTACATGGCTAGCTAGATCTAATTATTGTGTGTAATTTTACCTTTTAATCAATCTTGTCATCTACATTCACTATGTACAAGGTTCCTACCACTACCAAAGACTTCCGCTACCAACTGTAGCAGACTTATCCTATCCAAGGATCCTTATTCTAGTACCAGCATGGCTGGTAACCTATTGTCATTTCTTGTTGACTAAATAAAGCTAAGTAGTCTTCATCCTCTTAGGTAAACAAGTATCATATGCCGATCAGGATAAGATTGCACATGAATACCATCAATATTCTTAGAGCACCATGGAGGACAAGAGAGTCATGCATAGAGACGAACATGATTTAAAGAGAATAACGTAACAGAATGAGAAGCAAGAAGCTTAGCAGGAAGTAGAGTGCTGAACAGCTAACAGCTTATGATCCACACTGCTGCTAGAGCTTCGACACATTATTGACACCTCCCCCATGATTCTATGTATCTTGTGTCCACATGTCTCCTGCATTTATTCCTGTCGCACAATCTTCTGTTGCTGCTCAGCGCGCCATCTGCTGCCCTGTAGGCGGCACTTTACCCGCAGCCATGAAGCGACGTGTGTTGCCCAGATAACCTTATAACGAGGTAACAGAGAGAAGGTCAGGGAGGGGGAGAGGCATGGATAGAAGTGAAGGAAATGAGTGTGCTGCCAACATAGTGGGAGAGCGAGGAGAACAACGAGCGAAACTATTGCATTCAAGTCCTTTCAACCCACCTAGCCTACCGAGCCTTCACCTCACCAAGCCTAGAGCCTCGGACGTGGCGAGTTAGGGCTCCCAGTCCCAGTTCTAGAGCGTGAAGTAAGCACCAATTGTGCACACAGCAGGCACCGAAGCAAAAGTTCAACCTCTGGCTTACCAAGCCTGGGCTACAGCCTGGGTATTATGGGGCTTGGGCTCCCAGCCTCAAGACACTCCTGGCAGATGGCACACATGAGACAGAAGGTGTGCACACAGCAGTTCCCAACACAGTTCCCGAGCCTGTGAGAGCCCGGGCTACAGCTTCGGACTTACCGAGCTTGGGCTCCCAGCCTCGGTTCTTGAGCTCGCGGTACTCCTGGCAGATGGCGCACATGAAGCAGAATGTGTGCACGCAGCAGTCCCCGCACGGCTTGGCTGGCAGCATGTACTTCTGCCTCAGCTTTGAACGGAAGCCTGGGGTAGGTTAAAAGATGAGGAGTAGGAAGGAAGGAAGGAGATTTGTTATATAAAATATTCGAGTTGAATTAGCACATAGGGCTTGGCTGGCAACATGTATTTCCGCCTTAGCTTTGAACGGAAGCCTGGTGGAGAGGCAGCGATGGAAGGGAGGGGAAGGGAGTACAGGATCGGGTATGGCAAGTGAGTTTCGAACCGCTCAAACACACGGCTTGGGTTGGCAGCATGTACTTCTGCCTCAGCTTTGAACGGAAGCCTGGGGGAGAAGTGGGAATGGAAGGGCATAGGGGAATGGGTACGATGAATCAGTCTGTTGCATTGACTTATACCGTTTGGCTCAGCTGGCAGCATGTACATCTGCCTCAGCTTCTGGCGGAAGCCTGGGGCAGGGTGGAAGATTGTGGAGAGGAAGGGGATTCAGGACAGGAGAGTCAGCCTGCAGGGCTTGGCTGGCAGCATGTGCTTCTGCCTCAGCTTCTGGCGGAAGCCTTGGGGGGTGTTGCAACAACGAATGCTTACCGCAGGAGTAGAAGCAGCCCATGCCGAAGAGAAGTTCAATGAAGTACCAGAGGCAGAGTTTGCTTCGTTAAGGCCAAAAGAGCTTACCGCAGGAGTAGAAGCAGCCCATACCGACGAATATCTCAATGATGTACCAGAGGCAACACGCGGTGCCAGAGTCTGGGGGATAGCAAAACAGCCGAAACACGAGCACGCAGGAGGGAGAGTGGTGAATCCTAGTCAAGAGGCAGCCCATGCCAACGAGGATCTCAATGATGTACCAGAGGCAGCACGCGGTGCCTGTGTCTGGTGGGGCGAAGGCAGGGAATTAACACGGAAGAGGTGACGTATGAGTAAAATTATAGAGGCAGCCCATACAGACGACAGCTCCACGATCGATCAGAGGCAGCAGGCGGTGCCGCAGCCTGGTGGGGCGAGAGAAGAAACAGAAATGGGAACAGATGCAGCCAAAAAAGGTTGCAGGGACGGGGCAGAAAGGGAGCAGAGACGAGGTGGATCGTGCATCAACTCAAGCGGCAGGTAAGCTTATTGAGGTTCCAGAGGCAGCAGGCGGCGTGGGCAAGGGAAGCAGAGGGAAGGAACAGGGAAAAACGGGAGGCGAGAGGAGTAGAGGCATAAAAAACGGACGCCAAACGGAGTTAGGCTTTCCGATGAGGATTTGCAGTCAGCTGGTCGACGTGTTTTATTTTTAGAATTTTCGTAAATAACGGATTCAGCCCGACGTATAGTAGGCCAAAAAACTCGCGACGCCTCAATAGCTTCATATGAAATACGGCTCCGGATTTACGGACGAGGCGCTCAAAAAACGTCATGCACCATGAGTCATCTGAGAAGCACGTGGCACCGACTGCGTGTTGAGAAGCCATTTACCCGTGCACCCATTCCAAGAAATATGTTACCTGTGAAGCCATCTGTTACGATTTCCGCGTTTTGGCCGACTATGACGCACGGGCACCAAAGCGCGCAGCAACCTGCAAACATATTTGTCAGGAAAAATATATAAATATATAAAAAAAAATCGTGAAGCAGCAAGAGGCACGAGGATCTCTACCAGCGCACAAGGCGACTTCTGAGACGTCTCAGAACCACACGAGGCGCCTCAAATGTCGCATCATCAAGGCGCGTCGAGTGTTGATTTTTTCAGGCGCTTTGAGCGTCGAATCATTAAGACGTGTGGAGCGTCGAAGGTTGTTTTTAACAGGCGCGTCAAGCATCAAATAATCGAGGCGCTTCGAGCATGGCATCACAAGACCCGTGAGTAGTAGCAGAATAGCTTACAGGAACCGCAGTCCTCAGTGCAGCCGCAGAGGCCGGTCGTCCACGCGCCCATCGGCACCGACGACGGAGGCGTCGCCATGGTTGACCCTGGTTGACGTTGACTTCCCGAGTCTTGTTGCGCTAGACGTTTATTTTGACAGCTTGAAGAACACAGGCTTTTGAGCTTGACGATGGTCGCGTGATTGACTCGCGGTTAGAATGGCTCCTTGATTTCCTATCGACAATGAACAGACAGCGCAGGGGTCCAGTTACGTTCATATACTTGATACTAACGACAGTTACGTTCAGATACTGAACGTGTTGCTGGTAGTGTCAATTCCACCTCGAAATTTGTTTTATGGGTTGGGGTGGGTGTGCGCGTTGTAAGACATGAGAAACGGGAGGGGGGGTTGCTTGGATTTACAACACACCAACACGGCGCGCGGCGCAACTATTGACTTCCCCAGGGATTCGGGACGGGGGACATCGGGCGGGGTTCGAGATTCCGTCGGGTTGGGTCGGTTCGGGGTGCTGCTTCTCCCCGGCGTCCCAGCCTCACTTCCCGCCCGACCGACCACTCCCTCCCCTTCCCCACTGCGCTCCCCTTCCTCCCCGTTCCCCATTCCTTTCCTTCGCCTCGTCACCTTGCGCCCAATAATTGTCGTCTGCAGCAGATCAATGGGCAAGAAGAGACCGAGCCGCGTGTCCATCTCTCCCAAACGAAGGCAGGAAGTGTAATTATTGAAATGAAAGCTCGGCCCGCCGCAATGTGCGGCGCAGGGGGGGGACTCAAACCAGACGCGCCCTCGCGATTATGGCAGCAATTGTTCGATGACGAATTTGTACACTTTACCAGTTTCACAAACTTACCTATATCATGCCGTCTAACCTGGAACATTGTTACGGGTGCAATGGAACGAGGTAGCGAGGATTGCACTATGTGGGTCAAAAGTAAAGTATGAGCGAAGGCATGAGCGAATAATTATGTGCGAAAACATGCAACGGTTACGCGGTGCGTGCGAGCTAGCTAGTGCTACGCTGGCATGGAGGTTCGGGCTAGTCCCGAAGCGTAGGCCGACTCGGTCAGGCCAGCAGTGCAAGGTTTGGTAAAACAGTGAGCGCGAAGTTGGCGAAGCCCCGTTAGCAGTAACGGGCGAACAACGGCTGCTGCTGTACGCGATGTTGATGGTCGCGGTAAGGAATGTCGAGAAAATTCCTTACACTACCCCCCCCCCCTCAAAAACCCCCCTCCGCTATGCGAGTGCGTGTATATCGCGGAAGCCCCGGCTCCTCAGGTACACTTGCAGGGCAGGGTGGTTTTCAATATTGGTCAGGGGCACCCAGCTATCCTCAGTTGGCGTGCAGTCCTTCCAGCGAACGAGGAACTCGATCCTCTTGATGCCTGTGGGGTGTCGAATCCGATGGTTCAGAATCTTTTCGGGCTCAATGACCGGCTCCGATGTAGGGCGAGTCATGGATGGCGGGCGGTGACGAGGCAGTTGGCTCGTGGTGGGGATGTAAGGGCGAAGTAGGCTGACGTGGAACGATGGGCTGATGTACTAGTCTGTCGGCAACAGTAAATGGGCGGTAACTGGGGTGATCATGTGGCTGATTTGGAACGGTCCACAGTATCGCGGTCGGAGTTTCGGTACGACGGGCAGTCTTAAATTTTGTGTGTCGAGCAGTACGTAGTCTCCTGACTGGTACGTGACTGGGCGGCGGTGGCGGTCAGCATTTCTCTTAGCGATGACATTTGTTTTTTTAATCGCTTCTGCGGCTCTGGTGCGGGCAGCTTGCAGAATCTCGGCAAATTGCTGTGCGCGTGGCGTTGGGTTGTCCGGACTCGGCGTCATAGGCACTATTGGGTTTTGCCCGTAGTTCAGGTAAAACGGGGACTGCTGCGTCGTCGCTGACGTGGCGTTGTTGTAGGCGAACTCGATCAGCGGCAGCTGCTGCTCCCATGTTGTCGGGTCGTCGCACGTGGCACGAATCAGCTACTCCATGGGTTGATTCGTCCGCTCCGTTTGACCGTCGGTCTCGGGGTGGTACGACGAGCTGAACTGTAGCCTGGTCCCGAACTGCTCCCAAAGGTTCTTCCAGAAGTTGCTGGTAAACTTCGTGTCGCGGTCGCTGATTATCGCGGCTGGTATCCCGTGCAGTCGAACGACGGTTGCGATGAACAGGCGAGCGGTTTCTTCGGCTGAGATCGATTTCTTGCACGCAGCGAAGTGAGCCATTTTTCGTCAGTCTGTCAACGACGACCATAACAACGTCGTTACCCCCAGGGTTCGAAGGTAACCCCGTGACGAAATCCATGGTAACCTGCTGCCAGGCGCGCTCGGGCGGTGGAATCGGCTGCAACTGACCCGCCTTTTTTTTTCCGCGAGCTCTTCATCACCTGACACGTAAGACACGAGCCCACATGGTGTTGTACGTCGGTCAACAGCTCCGGCCAGTAGTAATACCGCTGCAGTTGCTGTCGCGTTTTTTCTACCCTGAAGTGACCCGAGGTAACCCCGTCGTGTGCCTCCTGCAGTAGTAGTTCCCTCAGTAGTGAGTACGCGGGTGCCCAAATGCAGTTGGTGCCTGTTTTTACGTAATAGACTCCCTTTGCTTCTGCCAGTTGCTGTGAATTTCCAGTCGTGAAGAATGGGTCGGTACTGTATCCATGGGTGAATAGGCATGTTAGCAGTGGGTTGGTTTGGGCTGTCAAAGTATATGCCTGTGTCATAATAAAATGTAGGCTTTAGTGGGGTAGCTAATGTAGGGTATAGGTTTTGTTACTTGTACCCAACTTTCTCGATAGTGCAGACATCCTTTTCTCTCGACATGGTATTAAGAGCAACATAGGTCCTTAGGACCGTTTTAGGACTGTTTTTCAGGGCCCACCAATCGTTTTTCGCCGGTTACCGAGTTACCCCGCCCCTTGCCTACACTGCCCTGCGTCACGCAGCCCTCGCGCTCGCCTCTGCCGGCCCTCGTACAGCCCGCTAGCAGCCCGCCTGCTGCCTCGTCAGCCCCGCGCGTAGCCCTCGCGCTGCTTTCTACGGCCGCCGACGCGGCCCCGCCTGGCCTACGCGCTGCCCCCCGTCGCCCGTCGCGACGCCTGTGGGACCCGCGCGCTGCCCTGCACCAGCGACGCCGCCCCTGGAGCAGCCGCCCCTGGACCCAGAGCAGCCGCCCCTGGCCCCTGCAGCAGCCGCCCCTGGTGCAGCCGCCCCTGGCCCCTGAAACAGCCGCCCCTGGTGCAGCCGCCCCTGGACTCCGTGCAGCCGCACCTGGACTCGCGACGCCGCCCCTGCAGCAGCCGCCCCTGGCCCCTGGGGCAGTCGCCACTGCAGCAGTCGCCCCTGGCCCCTGGGGCAGCCGCCCCTGCAGCAGCCGCCCCTGGCCCCTGGAGCAGCCGCCCTTGCAGCAGCCGCCCCTGGCCCCTGGAGCAGCCGCCCCTGCAGCAGCCGCCCCTGGCCCCTGGGGCAGCCGCCACTGCAGCAGCCGCCCCTGGCCCCTGGGGCAGCCGCCCCTGCAGCAGCCGCCCCTGGCCCCTGGAGCAGCCGCCCCTGCAGCAGCCGCCCCTGGCCCCTGGAGCAGCCGCCCCTGCAGCATCCGCCCCTGCAGCAGCCGCCCCTGGCCCCTGGGGCAGCCGCCACTGCAGCAGCCGCCCCTGGCCCATGGGGCAGCCGCCCCTGCAGCAGCCGCCACTGGCCCCTGGGGCAGCCGCCACTGCAGCAGCCGCTCCTGGCCCTACTCTGCAGCCACTGTTGCCGACCCTCGCCCGGCGAGCGCCTACCCTTCCCACCACTGGTGAGCACCTGCCTTGTTCGCGCGCTGCCGCGCCATTTGCCTGCCTGCCTGCCTGCCTGCCTGCCTGCCTGCCACGCCTGCCTGCCTGCCTGCCTGCCGCGCCGGCCCTGCCTGCGCTGCCACTGCTGCTACTGCTGCTCCTTCTGTTACTACTGCTAGGCTCTTACTGCTGCTGCTACTACTACTATTGCTACTGTTGCTACTGGCGGTGGCCAAATGCAGCTCCAACGACGTCCGCGCGAGTCTCTCACGCCTCAGCAGCTTCGTGAGTGGTACGCTAGTTGGGGTTGTGGCGGTAGCCGTCGTGGCTGTCGCCCTGGAGCTGGTCGGTCGGTAGCGTCTGGCAGTGGCCAGCTGCAGCTGCAGCTGCAGCGGCGTCCGCGCGAGACACTTACGTCCCGGCAGCTTCACGAGTGGTACGCTCAGAGTCGAGGGACTCGGAGTACCGTTCGCTGCCCGTACGTCCTTCGCACAGGTGATCGGGCTGGTCAGGCCTGCGGGACACTTGGTCACACCCAGTCCCGCTGCTTCGCCCGTCTGAGCGACGCCTGGCGTACCGAGTTTGGCGACGAGGCTGAGCTCCCCACCTGGCTGGAGCTGCTTGGGCAGAGGGTAGATATCTTTGCTCTTGACTATGATGCTATTCTCACTGCCATGTATGCATTGCCTACTAGTGCTGACCGTGCCTGTTCCCTGTGCGTACCGCCTGACCCAGGTATAGAGCCTGCTGCTCTAGGTGCTGGTGAGGCTGCTGCTCTAGGTGCTAGTGCGTCTCCTGCTCTAGGTACTGGTGAGGCTACTGCTCCAGGTGCTGGTGAGTCTGCTCTCTCTGGTACTGCGCCTGCTGAGGCCTTGTACACCTTCACACTTGACTCAGGTGCTTCCCGCTCCTTCTTTCGCGACAGCACCACCC